GTATATCTTGTAGCGGCATGCTCAGTGACCGCTGCAGGCATTTTTTGACAGCGATTTGTTTATAAAGTAGTCCTCTTCCGGTGGTGAAAGTTTCAAGCGAGTCAGAAGTTATTCCAGATGGAAGACGAGAGAAGAAAATTAATCTTGCACACTCACGTTGAAAATCCAACGTGGTCAGGTGCGACAATCGCAAAAAAGTTGAATATCGCCAAAAAATACCGTGTGATGTGCTCAGTCGATTCCACGAGTGGAACGAGGAAATGTCTCCGGCAGATTTAAGTTCACGTTCATGAATAAATTTGTCCGGAAGTTGTACAAGGAGGCCTCAGGAACCGCGTGCTGCATTTCATAAAAGCACACAAAGGACCTGTGAAGTTTTGGCCTGATTTGGCGAATTGCCACTGCAGCCGGGAGGTTGTTCAGTGGTCCGTGAAAATGAGGTGGATTTCATCGACAAGAACCTAATTTAACCCAATTGCCAATTGATTATGAACGGCTCGGGACACTTCACAGGTTACCAGAGTTTGGGACAAACTTGCCAAAGAGGTTGATACTACAGGTGTGCAACGTTTGATGGCGCGTATCACAAGGAAAGTGCGCAGTTACATCAGAAACGAACAGACATAATTTTAAATTAAAGTCTATGAAAGTGCAATAAAATATATTTGTTTTGATTGTTTAACCTTTTTTGAATGGCATTCCATACCCGAAATATAAGTGATATCTTCCGTGCGAGATTCTAAATGGACACTGCTTTATAAGACATGCTCAGTTAAACCATAAGATATGAACAAATAACCTTTCCAACTAGATGTAAACAAAAGAAATCCATTTGAAATTACCGAATCCTAAAGAAACATTAATCTTCAAACATTTTGTCTTTCAAAACACATGGTGACTAGAAAATCTCGATTAGCAATTTCCCTGTTTTTTTCCCGGAATTTGGGAAATTTTCCTGGTTTTGCGGTAAACATTTACATTAAACTTCAAACCGAATGCGATAATTTATTTCCCTGTTCTGGACATAAATCCAGGTATATTATAGTTCATAAAAATATGTATTTAATCGAAGTCTTAAAAATTTGTATATATGTAACCACCTTGAAACTTAGCTCAGAACTCAGAATTCGCTTAGAATAATTTACTTCCACAGAGTTCTTTCAAAATTCCTCCAAAATAAATTTGAATAAATCTTATTTATAACAGTCCAGAAAGTCTATGCAGGATTCATTTAATGGAATTCATTCTAGGTTAGTCTTTGAATTTTTAATGATTCAGTCAAGTTTTCACGGGTGCTTTCTTCCATAATTCTATATTATATTCACATGAATTCTCTCTTAATTCTTATGCAATTCTGAACCTTAGATTAGTCTTGAATTTCTGCTCCAAATTATCTTGAAGGTCTCCTCTAAATTTTTCCCAAAATTCACTTTATCTAGAAATTCCTCCCGAGATACCATTGAATTAACCTCAGAATACCATTAACACTCTTATTAGAATTTCTTTGGGATTGTACTCTCCAAAATCGATTCCCTTGGTATTTTTGCAGAATGTTCTCAGAATTTAATACCCTCTACACAATCGTCATGGAATTTCCCACGGAAATGCCTAAAAATTCTACTCTCACAATTGACTTGGAGTTCCAGTCAAAATTCTCTTTAAGTTCTTCCCTAAACTCCATTGGAATTTTTCTCTGAAAAACCTTGGTGTTATCTCTAGAATTCATTCTATAATCTCCTGAAAATATCCTGAATCTAGTCCAGTCCAAGGGTCTTCAGGGTGTCCTTTCAAATTTATTTTTTTCAATTCCGGGTTTTTACCCGATTATTAAAAAAAACTCTACTTTAAACAAAAAATGCGTTAAAAAATAACCCTTTAGAGATAATAATAAAAAAAATTCAGCAGAATTCCTCTACAATATGCAGGGCTGGTAGTGGGTATTTTATACAATAGTATTGACTACAATGACGAAAACATTGACCAAATAGTGACTCTAAAACAAAAAAAAGGGACCAAATAGTGACACTGAAACAAAAAAAAAAAAAGTGACCAATAGTGACATTTATTGATCGGAAAGATATTAAAGATATGGATCTAATCTGTCGTGCGATCCGTTTTGACAAATATTATAAATTCCCAAACTACCATGAGCATTTTAAAAGCTTTTTTAAATAAAATTAAGTAAAATCAGTATTAATTGGATAATCAATAGGTTAATTTGTAACCTCCATTTCCCACAAAGTACTCATTTTTCTCAAACGATTTTTTGGAAACCAACCGTTGAATAAGTTGAATTTAGATTCAGATCACGAATTGAAAGCTTGCACATAGAAATTTATTGGGAAATCTTGAAATTGAAAAAAAAAAAAAATTAGGCGCAGAGAAAAATGTTCAACGTCTTGGACAAATTTGTCAATTTTAAGACAATCAATTTTAAAGATCCCGAAAATAGAAACTTCTGTAAAACTTCAAACATAGACAAATTTTCATATCTCTGGAACCTAGACAAGTGTTCTGGATCGTATCAATAATTATCATTATTCTGGAACGACGAAAATTTTCTCGAAAAATCTCGATCTTCCAAAAAGTTGTAAGATTCTGTACTACATTTTAGAGATGCTGGACTTTTTTTTTTGTTTAATGCTGGCACTTAGTAATTCACGATCTTTAATTCAAACAAATTAAGAAAGCGTAGAATAATTTACGATATGTTAGGGTGTAAGTTCACAGTTATCTAAAATCTGGGATTGTAAATTTTTTGATTCCAGACTTGTAGAAAATACAATTTGATGGGCTTGGAAAAGAACTTCTGAAAAAAAGAAGATTCGATGTTTGCCGATACTAAATCTTCCGGCCGTCAAAGATTTATCGAAATTCACGTCTTTGAAAAAATCTCTAGCGCTTGGAAAGTTTTCTAGACCATTTTTCAACATATTAGGCTTGGACAACTTTCAAGATGACGAAGAGATATCGGAACCAGAGTTTATTTTTTTCGAATCCTTTTTTCGGTTTTTTTTCAGTTGTCTTACCTAGTTTTCCCAGTTTAATTGAACAATTAAATATGGTTAAATACCCCAAGTAGCATCACAAGTTTTATCGCATGATAAAACCCAAATCCTTACTTGAAGCATAGATTATCATTTCACTTAACTGTTGACCCTAAACAATACAGTATGTAATATGTAGTAAGGTCAAAATATGTTATTCTCAATTGGGGATTGGAATTGAGGAGATAAATGCAAAGACATTCCAATGATCTTAAAAGAATCTTTACAGGATTTCAACAGGATGATTTGAGAATGCTTAACAATATTTCAAGGAAAGTATTTTTTAATTTATAGTAATTTTCACACTCTCGGATCATTCGTGCTTTATCCGGGTGGGATTTGAACTCATGATTTTGGAGTAAGATCTTTATGTTCTACAGACTAACCTCGGTCTTGGTATTTGGTTAGCACAAAGTGCAAAAATTAATGTTTAATTTATCTCTATGTCCGGTGTCGAGCATTTGCATGCCAAGCATGATCGGAGTTTGCAAGGAGTTTTAAAAGGCATGAATCTGCTTCTCTATCCTGAAGTAGCTTCGTAACATGATATGTCTCTCTCAGCCTTTATACTAGAACTACTTCACTCGGAAAACTGTGGCAAAAGAATTCAAGCAATGACATCATATGCATTCCAATGCACATGAAATTCTATAAATTTAGCTATCGTAGTAGAAACAGCGACAAAATCACCGCTTGATCCGGGCGCGAACAGATTGCGAGTGAGAGAAAATAATAATATGAAAGTTGAAAACAAGAGAATATAATGATGTAGGGGAATTTACGTATTCTCGGCAACCTAAGCAGCGACCTTCTTTCTATAGCCTTTTTCTCTATGGAACGCACACATATGCAGTATTGGTTTGTTTACAATCTTTTGCTGCCAGCTGCTCTAACAATTTCAGTCGAAAGAATTGTCAAAAACTGTTTTGAAACGCTTTTACAAAGCTCCAATCTACTCTAGTGAGAGCGAGTATTGTCGGCAACCAGTTTTTCTGCTGCAACCGTTCCATTTGAACTGCATGTAAATCTGCTGTTCTATTATCGGCAACTCGAAATCAGCTACAATTTGTAGTGCGTGTGTTTCATTTCAAGAAAACCCTGCTAGATTGCTTTTTCTCAGTGGTAAAAATATAGTCAAATTGAAGCTGAAAGCATAAAGAATCGTTTGCATGCATTCACCGAAGTGTTTTTGTAAGAAAATCCAGTGAAAATAGTGTTTCAATTTGGGTTGCCGAAAATAGTCTGTCATGCCGAAGCCGTCATTTCCCCTATGTGCTATAAAGGTGATTGATTCCATGTAACATTACAAGTTTAAAGGTTAAAAGGATTCTTCAAGACCAAATTATGGCCTACAAGACTAATATAAAATCAAAATTGTTACTTGGGATGAGTATATATGATCTTTCCCGGTGCAAATTGGGATTTCCCGCATTTTTGCCGGAAATTCCGAATTCCCGGTTTTTTCCCGGATTTCCCGGTTGGATGGTCTTACATTTTTTTTTTTCTAGGTCCAGAATCTTTTTTTTTCCAAAGGGAGGACCAAATATATTATTTCCCAATTTGTCATCAACATACACGGACTTTTTCCCCGGTTTCCCGGTTCACTGGTCATCGGTAACGGCAATTCGCAAGTGATTTGCGGAACATAGGCTTGTTCAAATTCTGCATACAAGGAAACTAGAAACAGCGGGGATCGCACGATAGGCATCGCAAACGAAGAAAGACTATGTAATAAAGTTATCCATAAACGATTCACGTGTACATACAATTCCGAATATATAGTTATTAGAACTTTTAGTTACCAGACTTATCGTGGGGTCTAAATGACCGCACAGAACAGAAAAAGTGTTAATTCAGAATCAGTATGTTTTAAATATAAGTTTAGCGTGTTTTCACATTAAATTTTAATTTTGTTTTATGAAAGTAAAAGAAATGGTTGAAAATATGTCTTACGTAGTTTGTACATAGTCCCTAACAACGTGTTTTGAACTGAAAATAGAAGAAACAATTATTATTCTAAAGAGAATCATTTGATAACATTGCGTTTTAACGAAAATTAGTGTAGAAAAACAATATAGCCATTGGGGAGGCAGGTTTGTATGGCAGGTCACAACCTCCGACTCCCCATAGCTCATTCGATTAGAATTGTGGGAACCGGAACCACAACAGTGCCAAATTTGAATGGATTTGGTAGCGATCAGGAATTGGCAGCAGAATTATAATGTTAGTATGAGAAACGGAACATAAATATAAATTTGCTTGCCACAAATTCACACATTGCTCATTATTGTCCATGAGATTATGATTGAGCAAACCATGCAGAACAACTTTGTCGAAGACCACAAATCGATTTTATTACTGTATTCAGGGTGTCGACTCAAAGTCGAAAAAAAAATCCCTGACTTTCCCTGACTTTCCAGTGGGTTTTCAGAAAAATTCCAGTCCACAAAACTCCGATATTTAAACCTAAGAAGCTACAACGTGATGTGCTTTATTATACCGTAGTGCAAACTATGGTTAGTTTAAAATGAGCAGCAGAGTAAGCTTTCGAAAATATCAAGAATAGCATACTCATGGCACGCACAACTGAACTTGATACTAATACAATTTTTACAGAACATATGACCGACTACCTAACGAAGGGTGTGAATAGGCCTAGGGCTATAAATACATATTATAATATAATAATGAATAACTACTGCTCACAACTAGGCTCACTATTCATTACTAAGTAATAATAGGAATATTTAATCAATGTCACCAAGCTCTCAATTTGAGTTCATAATGTCACAACTAAATAATAATCAACCCGTAGACGATCCTTTCTCTTTACCAGTGTTCGGAAAATCATTCTCAAATCTCATTCATTGAGTGTCCTTGCGAGAATAAACTCGCGTGCAAATGTGGCAAACAAAATTCACGCTTGAGATTCTCATGCATATTCAGTGAATATGCATGAGAATCTCAAGCGTGAATTTTGTTCACGCAGTCACACTCACAACGTCGAAAAATCATTCCAACTTTAAACTCATAAAAAAAAACCACTCAAACGTCAATTGATACCATGGTTATGCATGTTTCGTTAGTTTTCCAACCCCTGATGCACAAACAATAGTAATAACAATAAATAACGCCAAAATATAAATTAATTAATTTTTTAGCCTGAAAACTCATCGGTGATTTTTGCGACAATCACGCAACCAAATGTTGTTCATTTAAATCAAAAATATTAATGTTCATTATAGAGCATTTCCAGCCCAAAACGCAAACCGGTTGGACATGAGTGTTTCCGATTTGAATGAAACATTTCTCACGTGTTCGCTGATGGTTGCATTTTTCAATTAAATGCTGGAAATGCTCTATATAAACATATGAGTAATTCAAAGTAAATTTGAAACATGTTTGAAACAAAAATATTTATTTTTGGATAAAATTCAAACGCATATTTATTTCAACAATATAGAATTTGGGTAAATGATTTTTAGCGTGTCCTGCCTTGTTTACATTCGGCAAAAATTGACTCAAACTATTCCTCGGGAAACGTGAAACCGAGTAAATGGTCGTGAAACCGAATAAAAGGATCCGAAAACCCATCTAGGAAGTGTCCAAATTATGTTCCAGTTCCGATCCACATAACACCCTTTCCCAAGAAGTCGAAAGAAAAACGACAATTCGAAATGGATGCTAAATCTATTCCGGATCCTCTCCCTTCTCCCGACAACAAACGTAGAAAGAGGGTCAACGTCAGAAACAAAAGATTTCACTGAATTGGAACCCCCAGACACTCACCCCGACAAGCCTTTTGGAACCCGGACTAGAACACCACCATCCACGCCATCCACAGACCACCCTTTATCGACCCCGAAAATAGTGGGAATTTACATGTCCTGTCTGCAGACTTTTCTTCTATTTATATGCTACCTATCCATTTTCTGTTTCTTTTTCGCGCTTTCAAATACTAAAATAGTTTGTTTGTTTAAAAAATGAAAAACTTATTTAAAATTAAAAAAATTATGCTTGTTCACTTTGACAACAAAATGTTTTCACGTTTATTTTAAGCTCGAATATTTTTAAAATAAACGTAACATTATTTTTATTTTCAACATAGATTGTATTGACTTCAAAAATGGAATAAGTTTGCAATAAGCCTTTTTTATTTTTGTGGCCAGAACAAAATTTAAACGTTTAAATTTACCTCAAATATGTTTGTTTCGACGATAGATTTTTCTGCTTATGATTTGAGCAGAACAATTTTCTCCTGCAAACTCTCGGCTTCTTTTTGAGCATCTTCCAATAACTTTCTTTGCTTATTCTCCAGATGTTTCGCTTCTGCTTCTCTCTGGGGTATCAACAATTCTAGATAGAGCTGGAATTAGGGCGTAACAGCTTTTGTAAACAATGGCTTCTTTCGATGATTTCTAGAAAGTTCAGGCTCGCCAACGCAATTCAACAACACCATCCAGTAGGGGACGACTTCCCCTACCCGACGGTTATGATGGTTTGCGTGGGCATGCCTTGAGTTCCTAGAAATCATCGATAAAAGTCATTGTTTACAAAGGCTGTTACGCCCTAATTCCACCTCTATCTAGAATTTCGCTTTGTCGGAATCGAGAGCTTCTTTCATACGACGATCCTTGTCTACATGGAAAGCGAATACGAATTTCAAACTCGCTGAATATGTTCATTCAAATTTTGTAAGTTTTCCAACCCGCCTGCATGAGTAACACCATCATAGATCTGACATCGCGCAACGACTGACTCTTCCCTCATGTTTTCAAAAAGACATTCTGCATTTACGAAAAACCTCTCTCTGCATTGGCGTTGCCATGCGATAAGCAGCAAATCATTTTCAAAAACCAACAATAGTTCTGTGAATACGCCGACCAATATCCTGTGCCATTTACCTGTGCAATATTGTTCAGATGATCAATATTAATGAACCTTTCCATAATGCCTCTAACCATTTGAGACATCGCGTTGTACAAAAAAGGTACTATAGGGTTATCCGTCTAAAATTCGCATAGAAATGGCTCAACTTCGATAGCAACTGATTTGAAGAAAGCCAGCTTAATACCACGTTCAGACTACAGAGTTATAACATGTTATAACGGTTGTCACATAATTGCAACATTCAAACAGTTTTTAACATCTTGGTAGGAAGCCGAGGTTGGTTCGATTTTGTCTTTCTGGACGCCTTGAATAAATTTTCGTATTTGCGGAATAATTTCGATTGCCCTCTGAACAGCACCACTATTATCCAGCCATCGGTGGTCGCAAAAATTTAACGGGAATATGGTAGATCCGGAATACATCGAAAAATAACGCTCGTCTTGCTGGTACATCTATGAAGATATTGTAGATACCACGCAAACATTTGACAACATCCCCAACTGGTACTGCGAACACTATCCTTGAATAAATTATGCAAAATATGCAGCCACAGCTTCCTAGATCTATCAGCTTCTCGCCACCTTTTTGGGCCCATCCATGGACACATGGACGCAGCGAGTAGATCTGATGCCAGGGATCTTCCCAAAAACTTTGACGTCATGTAACGAGTTGCCACCTCGTTTTTCGAATCATCCCAGAATCGGGAATTCAAATCCATTTGTTTTGTTGTTGTTGTTGTTTTATTTAGGGGTTCGTCAAACCCTACAACAAAAAAGCTGAACTTTTGCAGTGTTAGTACGGAGCAATGCCAAAAATATCCAGGTCACGTCCTAGCTGAACCTTAGCGGCGATTTGACTATCGAAAAACATTATTTGATAACAGTCATGTCAACGAGCTCTTTGCACCATTGCACCAGTTTTGGGGTAAACGAACTAGAGTGGGTACCAAAAAGCAAAGTACCAAAATCAATGTGAGGTAGACGCGCTATATAAGGTTATATATTAAAATTGACAACCACAGCATACCCCTGGAAAATTAGTAAAGGACTACATTTACAAAATCAGGAAGGCCTGATTATTTTTCTGAACGAAGCGGAAGAGAAAAAAGCCAAATGAAACAACACAAAATTTGTGTTTTAATGCAAAATACTCAATTCGGCTATTTTGGTTCGTTTCAATTTCAAAGTTAAATTGCCTAGAATCAATCAAAAATATCATTTTTTTCCCTGACCTACACTAAAATTCCCTGACATTCCCTGACTTTCCAGACCAGAAATAGAATTCCCTGACATTCCCTGACTTTCCAGGTTTTTCCAGGTAGTCGACACCCTGTGTATAAAAAGTTATGCATGGTTTGCCAATCTAAATCTCAGATATGCAATCGATGAAATTTTGGTAAGCAAATTAATATATTCTTTCCATTTCCCATATTAAATCTAGGAAAAAATAACGCAAATCAAGATCGCAATAATTATGTATTCACCTAAAATTAACAAAAAAATCCAAAATAGTTTTTTATTGGGTATCAGTTTTCAAGACTTGACCCATTTGAATAAATTTTGCTTTGACAATACAGCAGAAGGCCTAGCAACTTGAACACTGGATTCCGTGTGTATTGTTTCAAGTTATAGAACAAATATTGTGACGTGATACATCCGCGTAGTAATCCGATTGACTATTGAATAAGTAAATCCGTTTCGAACAAAATATCTAAATTATGTAAGTTACGAAAACCGCGCGAATTTCGAACGCCGTGCGAAAATACCGAAGCGAGAAAAAAAAATAACAAAGGCTTATTATCATTTAAAGAGTGCCACCAAAATAAATGTGATAGCCTATGTTGGCAAGTTGATTAATTTTGGTATGATCTTTAGATATTCTACTTATTTTACTATTGAGCTTTGTTTCAATTTAGTTATTTTACCGCGTATCAATCATTTCAAAATTTCGCGACCGTACCGAACAAATTCTAAACTACAAAAACTTTTGGTAAGCTCTACCGAATTGCGAATCACTTCTGCTTAAGCTCCGTAGACGTAGGTGCGTTGATTCCGACAGCCGCGAAAAGTTAAATATGCATCAATACCACATAATGAAAGATCGATTTTACAGTCACATAGGGTTTAGTTCATAGATTAGCGTTGACAGCTGTTTACAAATGTACGTACTTGAACAAAAAGAAATAAGTTAACTCAAATGCTTTAAACGCATATCAGAAATTTCGCGTATTGAGAGAATAATATAGTAGTCGAGTACAATAAACTCAGGGGAAAACAATACCTACAAAAGTTATTAACTGTCACATACCTCTACTTTTACTTATTTCCTAAACTGTTCCTCTCCTTGTTAATCTTCTTAATGCTATTGGTCTACTTGCGTTTTCTTATTGAAGTTCAAGACTAAATAAGGAAGATTTTTTCAACATTAAAGGTTAGTTGCATCACTAAGCGGACCTCCGCATCCTAATTCTTTTTTTTAATATACTTAATGTTACTAGACTTTCTGAAGTTTCTTATTTATGTTCATTTGATGATTATTAGTCTAATTTAATAAATAATTTAAATCTCTAATTCACCTAATCAATCATAACCCATGCTTTATTAAGTTCGTGTTTCAAGTACTTTTAACTTTGACCTATATTTATTATATCTTAGTTCGACCCACGTGACACCTTCAAGTGACTAAAATGCTTCACTTTAAAGTGGGGATCCTAGCTGATTTTTAAATTATATAAGGTATATTCTCAAACTATGCTCACACGTTTCCATCATGTCGCACCGCAAAAATACGTATGGGTATGTCACAATAGAAGCACGCCACAGTGGAAATCCCGAACCATAGTTCAAACACTTATCCACTTATACCATCTATAAAAATGGTGTTTAACATTGTTCCCTGATACTTCAATGAAAACAACAATGAAAGCTTGTCACGCCAATAGAACACTTTCTGGGCACTTAATGAAATATTTCAATAGAATAATTCCCTTGTAAACCCAAATAAATCTATCTGCGTAAAAATAAATAAAATGAAAGTGATTTGCGGAAAAACCCACCAATGTCGCACCCAACGTCAGTGCCTATACGTAAGCGTACTACAACGCGGCTTTTGAACAAAGGAGTATCAAGTGTAATACTGTCACTGCTAGCCTAGATCTTTGGTTCTCTCATGTAGTGGTTCATCAGAGAGAGGAAGCTTAGTAATCCCCATCGCCTGCTCACGGCGCCATTCTATCGCGGCATGAGCAAGCAACGCCGGCCATAAACCTACCATCTCCAACACTCCAGTATAAAGCATGAAATTAAGGCCGCCCACCAACAAAAAGGTGCAAAAACTAGCCAAGGGGAAGACGAGAAAAAAAATACAAAATTTTACATTAAATCACAAAAATGACATTAAACACGACTAAATTAACTTGGAAAACGTGGTTTTACCTACGCAAATGGCAATGGAAATGGCTTAGAATCGTTAAAACGAGCCTACATATGACTGAAGTGGCCTAACAATGCTGAAATAGCTTTAAAAGTTTAAAAAAAATGACATCAGTTCACCAACATTGATATTAAAATGAGAAAATTACCTTAAAAACAACAACAAATGACTTAAGACACGCCACCCAAGTAATAATTTTGTACTTTGACTATATGTTTTTAGTATTACTTCTACGTGAAGTCAACGATTTACATAGTTGAAGATGCTAATTTCAAATAACAGACTGTACTGGTAATTTTTATACGATAGATGAAGTAGATGAAGGGGGAGTTTGGTAAAGAGAGATGAAAAAACCGATTTGTACCTTCCTTAAAAGTTGTCCTAGCTCGCTTGTCTAATATCTATATACAATCTTCACACTGCCGTACTCTAACGGAACTATCAACTCTATGCTTTCATCTACTCCATCTATCGTATAAAAATTACCACTACAGTCTGTTATTTGAAATTAGCATCTTCAACTATAATAATTTTGGTTTTATTATAGCATTATACACCATTATTTGCGCTTCAAGAAATAATATAAATTTTGATAAAACTTGCAATGTTGCTTAGGCGAAAAGGCCTAGAATCGTCGAATGGCCCTGAAAAGGCCAAAAATCATCCTTTGTCGCTAAAGTGGTTTCATGGAACACCAAAATAACGTGATGGAACAGCTCTAAAAATGCCAAAACCATCCTGAGTGATAAACACGCATATAATCTTATATCAGTCCCATATGGAAAAAGTAGGCATTGATAAAATGGCAGTTGAAGTTACGAAATGCAATTCCCATGTAATTCCCAATTCAAGTTGCATTTTTTATTATGTCATCGAAAAATATGGCGATCCAAAACGCAGAACCGTAACTTTACCTCTGGACGATCGAATTTCAGGATGGGACTAATATGCGATTACTTTGCTTAGTGAGACAAACTTATTTAATGTTGTTTTCACATTTTCAGTAATATGAAAGTAGATGCCAATTGATAGTGGATAACGTTGTTATCTTAAAATTGACGAAAATCCATATGGGACTGATATGCGATTTTATGCAATTATGTCCATTATAAGTACTGTCATTACATTTGTTGCAAGAAACAAATACAGAGGATGTAGGAAATAGACAAATTAACCTTAAAAACTTTAAAAATGCTCAGGCACCATACGAAGCGCTTAACAACCTATTAAAGATACCATCCCAACCTAATGCGATATGATTGTACCATACTTGGTTTCATTCATTATTAGGTTGGTTGGTTTCGGTTATTAGTAATTGACTTTGTCTAAAATCACCAAAATGGCTTTTCAAACAACAAAATGGCCTTAGAAACGTTAGAAATTACTTAGAATTTCCAAAATAGCCTGAAACTACCAAATGGCTATGGCTAAACATATGAAATCACCTTAGATAACCTAGAATCGATAAAATGACATAAAAACGTCAAAAACTGACAAGGTTAAAAAACTTAAATTTAGATTTTAATATTCTGTGCTGGAGAACAGCCAAAATAGATAACTTGCTCATAAAAAGGAGCTTGTAACCCCTCCCCTGACACAAAATAATCAAATCTGGGATTATCTTAGGTATTCCCAAGCAATTTTCCCTAAAAGAATCACCACTAAGCTCATGAAACTCACACTTCGATGGCTACCATGGAAATGTGCTGGATGTTTACTGCCGGTGGAAGCATATTTGTCCCATGTGTGTATGAAAATCCGTAGCACATGGGACAATTATGCGTCCACCGGCAGTTTAGAGATTATGCCAAATTTGCAATTTTTCTCAAAAGCTGAGATCTACTACAACAAGTTAGCAGTACACATTGAAGATCATAAATCGGTTCATAAACAACCCAGCATTTTTTTTAGTTCTATCAGAATTTTCTTGGCATCGTGCCTAAAATTACATTGGAATTGTAATTTAAATTTATTTTGGAAGTATTCTCAGAATTCCCTGAAAGTTCTCTTCAGAATACCCTTGAAATTATCCCAATTCTTGTCAATATTCTCTTGAAAATTATCTCTGTTCGTTCTAGAACCTTGGAAATTATTTTGAATTTTTTTTTCAAATATGAGATTGTAAAACTTATTCAAAATTTTAAACCTTCAATATTTCTATTGGTCTTAGAGAAAAGTCGATGCAAATGATTTTTTTTAAAGGTGTTAATTCTTCCAACCATTTAATTAAGATTTTGATAAAAGCAATTTAATTGCTTTTTAATAGTTAACAGTTAAAACTGCCAGAATATATATGGATGAAAATGATGAGCACACATACAAGCTTAAATCAATGCTGACTATGATATGCTATATTGACAAATTTAAGACGGACCGAAAAGTTGTGGATCACCGCATTAGAGAAGAGTATTCACCCTCCTGAACCCCTGATCCCCTTCCACTGACTAAGCCCATAGATTTAATTTAATAATCTCGTGGAAAAGTTGCTTTTAATTCAAATTCGACCTTTTGGTTTGGCACAAGCCAACATACAGAATAAATAATTTATATGGGTTTCTCTTCTTTCAAAACTGATCAAAGCATTTTAACTATCAATGGAGATCTTGTACACTTTCGAGAATCGTATTTATATAACAAATATAAAGGATTTTCCCGAAGAGCGCGGTAGGTGGGGCAGTTCACTCATCGCAATTTCTCGGCAATTCTCTAACGAACTGAGCTGATTTTTAATATGTGATTAATGCCAACCAAAAATTGGTCAACTACTAAAAATCACCTTGATTGTTTGGTGGACAAGCGAGAATAATCGGTAGAGCGACTGCACAAAGCGCATTAATTGAAAAAAAAATAAAGTTTTTGTGTACCGTAATGCACCGGATGGTTCGTTAAACCGGACATTTAATTATATATTAAATATTACGTCAACTTTCCTATATAATAATTTTATGAAATGATTCGCGATACAATGTATGTGCCTTTAGCATGTTAGGCATTGATAATATACTAGGACAAGGCTGATAGAATCCAAAAATGACCATTGTCTTGGCTGTTTTGGCTTGTAAAATCAGCCATGATAGCAGCCATTTGTGGCTTCAATCAATCTTATCCTTAAAGGAGTCCGGATTTGTGAACTAAGTGTGCGGATTTTTATTCGGTACGTTGCGTTTTTTACTCTTCTCAGATAATATTTTATCATTGAAACGGTTTTGTAGCTTGATACAATCGAGCATATTAATTCCATAGGAAAATGTATGACGTAAACTTACTAGCTAGGATGTTCTGCTGTCGCTCGCTGGATTTCATAGCCGCAATGTGGCAAGGAGTATCGTAGAGGCCAAACTTGCCGCCACAGTAAAAGCACTGGTCCTGGCATAGCCGTTCGGGATGTACATTAAACGAAGAGGCTTTCTCCGGAATAACCAACGCCTTCTGGACCACTTCTTTCACTGCAGATTCAGCAACAACTTCCGGTAAGGTGACAACATCTGCAAGGAAAAGAAGAATACATATTTTAAGTGAAACAATTAGAGAAATTAATGGCTTTTTTGGCAAAAGGCGTGGAGGTGTCATCGGATGAATTATCAACAAATCATCACCGGGTTCCTTTTTTCTCACGTAGTTCCGTCCTTCTCTCAAGCGACATCGTTGCGTCATTAATTTTAAACCCCAACAGCAGCAGCAGCGGTAGCACACTCATTATAATTCACCCCCTTATTTTTCGCTTTTGGATCTAGCCAGACCTTGCTGAACACAGCTTCTCCCTCAAGGGCATTGAATGAGAAAAATCCACGTGGCAACATGAGCAAAGTCGGAGGAAATTTGAGGACTGGTAAATGAGTGATTGAAACGATCGGTGGGCAAACAAAAAAAAAGGTCAGCTTTTAATACCCTATAAATTCAATATTTTGATAGGAAATTAAGCTTTCAACTTTTCTACCATTGCCTCATCTTGGACAGATAGAAATTGAAACGACATCGACACGGTGTCTAGCACTGGTGACAGGTTGCTTTTTTGTGAACTTACAATTTTATACGGAAGGGACGGTTGTTCGTGAGGACTTCTCATTTTTGCTGCCGATTACGTGACGGTATTTGAATGATGCTCGTCGTGACAATTTGAATCAATAAATGGATCAAAGTACGTGATACATTTACGCTGGATTGAGTGTTGTCAGAAACGAATGGCGCTGAAAGCGGCCAACGAGTTTTAGAAAAAACATGGCATTTGTTTTGTTGTCTGTTTTGCAGGCATTTAAATTTGACATTTAGTTGAGACCATACCGAATTTTTATGCTCTTCTTACATCTAAGCCAACCGTGCCTATTGGGGTCATGGTTCATGGAAGGTTTTTCTCATACTACAGGAATCTCCCGACGGGCACACGTTGATGATTTACTACACCCATGGTCATTATTCGACTGTTTCTTAACCAGCTGGGCTGATTTTTTGTAGGCAACTAGTGTAGGTCACCTTCAGAAAATTAGCTCGATTGGTTGGAGGAAACTCGAAAAAAGTAATACAATAATAATATGGTCTCTGTATAGCCAAAGCTATTCCAACGCCAAATTGAAAATAACATAAATAAGAAGCCATGCATTAAATATGCCAAGCAAAATAGAGGAAAAATTAACACCACTGGGGAAGTGAAGGGGGGTTTTGTCACGTTTTTCCAATACCTAATGCTTGATTGTCACATAATTTTACAACTTTTAATTAATGGATCACCCTAGATCTAAATGTAGTTTAATAATTCAGATTCATTGTTTTTTTGTAAGCCTTGGCGTCAGGCTGAAAACGTCCAAGTTGATACGCAGAAGATTTTCCGTTGTTTTGAAATGAAAAAAATCTATTTAAAAAAAATCCGAGAACCAAAGAATGGCAATACTTAAAATAAAGTTTTTTTTTAAATCCATAGAATTTTTAATATTTTCCAATAATTAATAAAAACTATTGGAACAACAAAAACATATATTGCGGAGATAAAGACAAGCAACAGAATATTCAATAGAAAAGGTCAATATTTCTATAAAAAATCAATTTTTACAACTCATGTAACATGATGAAAAGAAATATTAATTCAAACAGTTTTTTCCAGACTTTTATTTACGACGTATCATTTGGATAGTATTTGGTGTCCAAGATGCATTTTCTCTGATATTTTAAATTTTACTGAGTTACAGAATCATAAATGGGTCATTAGGTTAAAAAAATAAAAATAATTGGCTGTTCTAAAATGTGTGCTGTTCTAAATGTGCAATGGAGATCTGGGATCATTTTTTGAGGTTTTGAATTAAGTGTTATCATTTAGACTGTGGGAGTACACAGTAAAAATTTCTAAAGATTTTTGGGGCGAATACAAAGAGAATTCTATGGTTCTACATATTTTTTTTTATACCCTCGGATTTCCCAGAGGAGAACTTCTTGCGAAATCTATGGCTTGCTTCCAAGGTAATTGTAAGGATCACGTAATGGCGAATCTGGAATGATTTCCAAGTTAGTTACAGTTCAATTTAAATTAAATTTAGAATGAGTCTTAAATAGAAACATCCAAGGTGGTTCTAATAGCATCCAAAATAGAACACTAAGAATATTCTGACGATGATTTAAAGCATTATTCGCAATCACCTAGCGCGATGTGATCCTCTTGTTTTGTACCAACCGGCAAACAGCGTTTTTGTGGGATTATTATCGGGTTTTCTCACTCTATGTCCTACCCACTACGCCTTGACGTCTGACCCTTTCTGAATACAGAGGAGTTCTGGGAGCATTATCTGATTTTTTATGGTATCGAGCTGGAGCTGCGTGACAGCTAACTTTTCAAAACTTGACTTGAATTTTGCTTCTATCTTTCGACTATACTACAGAAAGACTAGCCTATGTTGGCAGTTTGTTTAATTATAAAATATCGAAACTAAGTGAGTTCCGTAAACCGGGCGAGTTCCGAACGCCACGCGAAACAGCAGGAAAAAACAGTTAATTACTTAAAGAGTGCCACAAAAATTAATGTTGGCAAGTTGATTAATTTGTTTTCTTCCCTAAATGTTCTACTAATTATACTATAGATATTCTAAGATTTCGCGTCCGTACCGACTAAAATCCAAAAACTAGAAAAGCACAGAAACGCGTTTGGCAAGCTCTATCGAATTGCGCACAAGGTTGCAAAGACTCATTTCAGCTAAAATAATGTTTTTCGGAATAATAAAACCAAAAGATGGTATGATGGCATGTTTTACTTGTAACTTACAAGAAGAGGTTACAAAGTATGCGTTGGAAACATAAAACCTGTAAATTTTGCTTTATATGAGTCACAATCAACGATTTGCTGATCGCTGAGTGAGTGAGTGAGTGAGTGAGTGAGTTTGTGAAAAATCGCTGATTGTGACTCTCATGAAGTGAAATAAACAGGTTTAATATGTCAAACACATTCTTTGCAACCTCTTCTTGTATCCTACCAATTCAAAATTTGATTATGGCATCTAATTATTTCATAATTTAGAAAAACATTGTTTTAGCTGAAATGAGTCTTTGCAACCTTGATTGCGCATTACGAAAACTCCATAGGTCACGTATAGTCCCGACAGCCACGAACAGTTCAAAATCCACTTGATATATTTAGAAAAAAAAAAAAAAACTTAGTGAAATACTATCTACTACAGGAGCCACATCAAAATTTAAATTGAACCCATATGAATATAGAATCTCAGCAAAATTAAATTTCCTCCCCAAATTATTCATTTAAGATAAAAAAGCGTTTTGTTTTGTTTAGTTTTGAAGTCGAGTAGGTATATTGCCCTTCCAAAACTAAAGAAAACTATATGTGTCAGTGCCTTTATATAAGCGCGCTGTCACATGGCTTTCGAATAAAATATAAACAGGTGTGATACTGTCACTAGCGGCTAGAGCTTTAGTTCTCTCAAGTCAAGAGACGGAAGGCTCACTAATCCACAACGCCCGCCCATGACGGCACACTGCCAGTCTAATGTGAATTTCAAGTTATTTCTGCCTAAAATTCCAGGGCAATTCTGAGGATTATTCGATGATGGTGATTCTCAGGGGTCTTCTCAGGATAGTGTCAAAAAATAATTTGTGGAGTATTCCTAGCAGAATGCCAAGACAACTCAAAAGAGAAGTCTATGAGAATTCAGTGGTGAATTTTTAAGAGAATTCCGGAGTCAATTACAAATTTGAAAATAATTTTAGAGTGAATTTCAAGAGTTACCTACAGTAATGTGAAGAAAATTGAGTGAATAGTCTCCAGATGAACTTCATGTGTGGAAATTCATGAAAAAAACGAAAGAAATTGTGTGAATTGTTCCAAGGTAATTGACAAATTTTTAAAATCATCGATACAGACAAAATTTAAGATTTGTTAAATAAATAAGATTCCGAGCCTTCTGATTATTCTCGAATAACAATTGAAAAGGGCCTATCAACTTTTGTAAAGAAAAGTTTGTAGGCCCTTTCCTCGCGTAGGCTGCCCACGAAAACCAACAGCATCATCGTGTGAAAGACCCTTTCCAATTTTTGGTCGAGTCTTCTTTAATTTTCATACTTAGAAGAGTTTCCAGGAGCCCGCACTAAGAAATATGTTTTGAAGATTTTGAAACATGAGATGTGTTAAGATTAAAAACTTACAGACATATTTAAAATACCGAACTATATAATATTCAAAATCTATCTATCTATCTATGTATATAAAAATGAATTTCTGTCTGTCTGACCCTTATAGACTCGGAAACTACTGAACCGATCGGCGTGAAAATTTGTATGCAGGGGTTTTTGGGGCAGGGAAAGGTTCTTATGATGGTTCGAAACCCCTCCCTCCTCTGTAAGGGGGTGGGGGGGCTCCCATACAAATGTAACAGAAATTTCTGCATAACTCGAGAACTAATCAAGCAAATGGAACCAAATTTGGCATGTGGAGGTCATAGGGGATAGCCCCTTAGATAAGAGGGGGGGGGGGGCTACGTACAATATAGCATGCTTTATTTTTAATTGGCGCATAAACTCAAGCTAATATTGAAGGCCGGGCACACTCAGCTGGTATAATATAAATCACAAATCTGAGATATCGAAATATTTTATAATTAATGTTTTTTTCAAGGCATTGGATTCGCACTAAAACTCGATACTCTAGGGCATTGAAATTTTTGGAAATCTGAGATTTAAAACAAGTTGCGATGTTCCGCACTAAGTAAAAACTTAATCATAGAATATAATCAAACAGATCGCTTCCATTGGGATTGTACCCAGCGGCGCCGTTGGTGTAGTGGTAAGCGTGATTGCCACTCACTCCAGCAGGCCTTGGTTCAATCCCAGTCGGCGCCGCCGGGATGTTCTGAGGCATAACATCTCTGATCACGCCTTCCTTCGGAAGGGAAGTAAAGCCGTTGGTCCACGGTTCATGAGTTGATGGGTCGATAGGTATATAGTCGCTATATTCATAGTCTGGCGGATAGAATCTCGGGAACCAATTGAGCTGTCAAATAGCGGAACCAATCGAGCAAATCACGACCAACAACAGAATGGAGCACATCAGCATCACAAAATTTCGGAAACCGTTTTCTCGTTACTCAAGGCTCGTCTACACAAACTAACACCATCTTTAGGTTGTGGAATGTTTCCCCTATTCGATGATGCTGGTAATTTACCTTCGATTGGCGAGATAAGAATAATCAACGTTTTGTTTATAAAAGTTGATAGTACCTTTTCAATTGTTGGTCTACAATATATTGATATGGTTCCGCTTTGCGACTATACTATAGATAGGTAGGGTCCAGGTGTGGGAGCTATATCCCTGGCGTCGGTAGCATTGGTGCTCAGCACGGAAGATTAGATCGACGGAAAAAGTGACATAAACTGTTTTCTGCTAGTGACAGAACATTTTCGCACAAAGAAGCAGACAAAACCAACATTTATGTCATATTGAATTTTGCTCATTTCTGGCTAATTACTGCATTCATTTCATGTTTTTTGCATGGAATTAAAAGATGAGAATGAATATTAACCACTCATATGCAAAAATGTTAAAATTAAGCGTAAATATATGTTGATAGCGGGGCCGGTGGTGTGGTGGTAAGCGTGATTGCTTCTCACCCAAAAGGCCTGGGTTCAATCCCAGTCGGGATTTTCTGAAGCATAAAATCTCTGATGGAAGGGAAGTAAAGCCGTTGGTCCCCGGTTAATGAGTTAATGGATCGATAGGTAGGGTCCAGGTGTGGGAGCTTCCTTCCCTGGCGACGGAAAACAAATCAAGGAATTTTTTTTTTTTTTTTGGTTTGTTTTTTCCGTCGATCTTGTTTTCCGTGCTGAGCACCAATGCTACCGACGTGCCAGGAAGGCAGCTCCCACACCTGGACCCTACCTATCGACCCATCAACTCATGAACCGGGGACCAACGGCTTTACTTCCCATCCGAAGGAAGGCGTGATCAGAGATATTATACCTCAGAACATCCCGGCGGCGCCGACTGGGATTGAACCCAGGCCTGCTGGGGTGAAAATCAAGGAAAAAAATATGGGGGTCGATAATTTACTGTCACACACAAGCTTGCAGCTAAAATGTAATTGCAATAAACTGTTTGAAAAATAATGGACCACGATATTTTTACGATTCTTTATCTTTGTCGTTCGCTTGAAACATACAAATCAGTGGCGTTTCCTTAACCTAAATCTACCTGTGCACTAACTCTCAAAACATAAACAATTATCAAAATATTGTTTGCAATGGATAGATATCGAGTAAACTAGATGATTAAGTGTATTTTTCAACCGATTCAAGTATGAATATGGCATTAAATCTGGTTTTGAAAGTTTGTGCACAGGTAAAAAGTGAGGTTACGGGACGCCACTGATAAATATACTCGAAAAAATATACATTTGTCACCACTGGTCTGGAAAACTTCAAAAGTGAGGATCCAGGGACTTCAATCAAAAGTTCAGTGCACTTCAGTAAAGTCTGAAGAGCTGTTGTATCCATTATCATGAATGTTAAGTAGTGAGATAGATAGGGTTTCCAAGTATTGCTACATGAATGTGCTTAATAGATTTTAAGAGTGTGTTCGCCGAACATGTCGGGGAACTTCAAAGCGTGTTAGTTTAAAACATTTATGAATTTAAATATAATTGTTTATTGTTTAAAGCTAATTTGGCCTCCCTTAGCTCAGTCAGTAAAGGCGCAGCTACAAAGGAAGAGCATGCTGGAGGTGGCTGGGTTTCGATTCCCGGTACGGTCTAGAAATTTTTCGGGTTGGAAAGTTTTTTCGACTTCTCGGAGCAATAGAGTATGATTGTACTTGCCACAAAATATATACTATACTATACTATATATTATACTAATGCAAAAATGGTACAAGCATCGAAAGGTCTCAATTAATAACTGTGGACGTGCATCTAGAACACTTAGTTGCGAGCACGCAATAAGCTAATATGCAATAAGTAATAAGCTTGAAATGCGAAGAAGATGCAGAAGAACTTGAACAACTAAATATGAATTGTGATTCAAATATAACTACATCGACTTTGACTAACTTTCATTATGCTGGAACTTCAATAAAAAAAAGGAAGATCCTAAGCATAGATTACTGCAGTTCCTGTAGTAAGAAACATTGGCAAGATGGCTGAAAAAAGTAAATATCATGGACCTCACAGAATTTTCAAAAAATATTGAAGATCCGAGAATATATTAAAAAAAAAAACGAATAGAAAAGTTTAAAAAAGAAAAACAGTTTCAGATCATGGACTTCCAAAAATTATCATGATCCTAGACATAGAATTTATTTTTCAAGATTCTAGGACCACAATAATTCCTATTTTCATATTCTGGCACTCAAAATAATAATTCTTGATCTCTGAATTGGATAAACTTTTGAGATACTGGAGACATAAAAACATTAAACAAATTCAGGCACTTTATAAAATCACCAAGATCTTGAACTATGATCCTAGCTTAGGGAAGAAAAAAAAAATGATACTAGAGTTACTTCACAATGTACAAAAACTAGAGTACTAGAGTACTACTTCACAAAAAAAGGATTTCAAAATGTTAATTTGTTTACACCTAAAATTGCTGAACAGCCTATTAGAAACAATAGCTACATACGTGAAAACTTATGCAATTTTTGACCATTGTGTTCGTGTTTACGTGGTTTACGAATGGGTAGAAAAATAAACAAAATAAAATAACTCAATACCATAGGACTGTAGTTTGAGGACCAACATTTTGAATGATTTTGGACAAAACGATAATCGCAAAAAAATTATACAATTGTCAGGGTTTTTAAGGCAGTTGACACCTAGAATTAAATTATACTGTGGTTTTATCCGGCTTTGGATGATTTTGATCCATCAATTCCCATGTTTGGGTTAACTGACCTGATGTCTTGATTACTGTTTACGCACGAAAGCTGCTCGAAAAGATAAAGACATGGAGGCGCATGATACCTTACATAAACACACTGAATTTCACACGATATTTTTTTTGTGCAGTTATTTAGTTAGCTTTTTATGAATTTACAAGTTATGTAACTTGACGAAGTTATTATTAACCATTTTTTTGGTATGGGCAATAACGACTTTTAAAATAGTTTATCATAACATGTATGTGATCACATGAATTTTATTTGATAAATCGCACAGATTTCATTGAACACATAAGGTTCATGTGATTTTGTGGTGCGATTGCCGATTATGAAATGACATGAAATTTTTGTGATATTTTTCATTGAAAATGAGATTTTTTTTTTGAGCGGAGTTGTTCCTTCTATCCAGGTATAAAAGATATGATTTTCATGCGAGTAATGGCAAAATAATATTGAAAAACATATTCAATTATGAAACAATAATTTAATAATCACCCTTCTTTCAATGTGATGAAAATAGTTCAGATACACCAAATCGCATACCGTAATGTCAACACTTCAACATTTAAACCGGTGTATCTGCTATGACGCAAGTGCTAAGCGATATGTCGAAGCGATGTATCAAACACGGTTTATGTAACAATCAAGCTGTAATAACGACGAATTAATCAGGGTGTAAGTAAATCGTATGAAAGTAAAACACTATCATATTTTGTAAAAATTGTAGTTCAAGTTCACAGATAGAACAAAATTTGCAAAGCTTTCCAATACGTCCTTTTGAAAAGTTACGCTTGCTATGATGCTTATTTGGGATTAATAACAAGTTTTCTCACTGAATGTCGGGGGTTTTCTTGAAAATCCTGACATTGCTGAAAATTAAAATAGCATCAGATTGCAGGGTTGCTAGGTTTGAAAAAATGCTTTGTTGGATATTCATTAGGGTGGTGCAAAATATCGATTTTGCTGTACCAGGCTCAATCGATTCTAAATCAGGTCCTGATCATTTTCTCAAAATTTGAGCTCATTTGGATACGAACTCACTGGCCCTTTGAAATTTATATGGAAATTACTATGGAAAAAGTGAACTTTTTTTTTCTTATCGTCCTAGCAGTTTGCCATAATGATTTAAGAAAAAGCTTGCTATTTGCTCGAATGTGAAATTTTATCAGCTATAACTTTGCCGAAAACCAATGTTTGATTAGGCTTCAAAGTAATTAGTTATTACTTGATTTCAAAATCGATAACTTTCTGTAACTGCTTTCAGGGTAACACTGCATCTTGTACTACGACATAGTAGCCTGGATGTTTTGCCATATTCTTCGCGCCAAGCACACCCATGTTGGCTACACTCAATTGATTTTAAAACAAACTGCATTCGTCTCCATAATTTGTTGAATGTTTAACTTACAACGAATCGATTTAGTCCGATGACAGTCATTCTATATATTGTAAACAGGGCAGCATAATTTGGTAAAATACTAACGAAGCATAATTTGGGCAAACGAAGAACAGATCCACATAATCAAACATAAATCATTATTAGCTCGTCACTTAATCTCGCTTTTCACAAGAAAGCCACCAAATCTAAAGGACAACACGCCTCAGATTGTTGACACCGCAAATAAATGAGCACCGTTCCATTTTAATTATCCTTTTTGCCCACGCCCAGTGTTTAACAAGAAAACAAACCCCAAAGATTGGAAAATCTTAGACACAAAGTAAAACTTACCGGTGGTGTGAGACCGGCTGTGCGTTTTCCTGCCAAGCGCCGCCGTTGCCAGTCCTGCAGAGTCGGTCATCGATTGATTCTGTTGATGATCAGTCTGAAAACACACAGAGAATGGGCAACTCATGAGCAAACTGGGAAAATTTCTTGTCGAAGAGAGCAACAGGTGAGCAGCATCCCACTTTATTACTGACTAATAACAGTTCAGAAAAGCACTATCCTAGCGTGTGGGGGAAGGCTACAGGGAAATGGAAAAAGAACAGAGAAAATTCCCTATGTGTTTACTCACCTCGTTCTGAATGATGTAGAATGCTGTCTCCCCATTTCCATCACCACCGTTGGCATCCTTTTCGGCGCCTTTGCCTTTTCCCTTCTGCAGGGTCATCTTCAGTGGCAACCGTGCTTTGCGCTTTTCACCTCGATTAAGTTTTATCACAGTTTTTAGGGTTCCGGTAGACTCGGAATTTCTGGTTGATTTAGTAGAACCACCAACCCCTCCACAACCACTACTACCACCACTTTTGGAACTGCTGGAAGAGGTACTGGAACAATTGCTTGCAGCAGAGCTAATATTGGTGGTAGGTTTATGTAGGACGAGTTCCTTCCGGCGTTGCTTTTCCTCACTGGCTGCTTGGAGGGTTAGCAGCCCCAAGTGCTTCAAGTGAGACTCTTTCTGTTTGGCAACGTCGTCTGATTCCTCATCAGCCGACTGTACCAAACTGGAGTCCACGGCGGAATCTGCGAAATCTGGAAACGCTTCCGTTACGCTAGGCGAATCTTGCACGACTGTCTTGGTACTGTTCGGGTGTAGAACTTCTATTTCCTGATCGCAGTTCTCAACCGCTTCTGAATCTTTACCTTTATGAGCTTCTACTGGAATTTCTTCGAAAATAGTAGATTTGTCAGAATCTTTATCAGTCTGTATTTTGATAATGCTAAGGGGAGATTTATTTCCTTCGGCCGTAACGGTCGTTAAAGTAACGACCGCTGCAGCGTTTTCGCTCCTGGAAATTATTTGCAACGGCGATTCGGAACCTTTTGCCTGAGTTTTCTCTTCCTTGGCCACGACCACTTCTTTCAAGGGTAAAATTTCCAATTCAGCTTTTACTTGAACGTTCTCGAGTTTTGACTCATTCTTGACCTGATTAGGATCTTTTTTTAGAAGGGTTATGGCGGGAAGATTTTCTAAACGGATCGTATTCGATACGATTTGTTCAAGTTTGGGAGGGTCTGATTTTGCACTTTCGACCAACTCGGTGGACTCAGAAGAAGTCACCGAAAGAACCAAATGTGAGTCAGCCGAGCTAATGCTTAGTGTTGTAACAGTTGTTGTTGGGAGCACTTTCTCCAACACCGAAACAACTTCATCCATCATTTTGGGGCTGGCTTTACCAGGTGTTGCTGCGGTGATAGCAGTTTTCTTGGATTCTTGTTCCAGCTTCATTTTCTCTTCCATTATCTTCTTCTCTTCTTCCTGCTTGAGACGTTCGGCTCGAAGCTTTTCCTCGCGCACTTTTTCTTCCACACGTAGCTTTTCCTGACGTAACTTTTCTTCTTTAGCCTTCTCATCTTCTTTGCACTTGTCTTTCACATTGCGAGCTTTCGTCTTCGGCTCCTTTGCGGTAGCCTTGGCTTTCGGAGCACTTGGTTTACCCGATCGCTCCCCGTCCGAATCGGATCGCGAATCATTCTTCTTCAGATTACTTTCCACTTTGTTAATGATACTCATCAACGTATCCTTATCATTGGATCGATCCGACAGAGGTGACTCGTTACCCGAAATTTCATCCTTGGGAATCACTACCACTGGTGGTGCCGTGCTTTGCACTTTGCTTGCTTCGACTATGCCAATAATTTCCTTCAATTTTTCCATCTCCATAGGTTCACTGTTAAACTTATCATTTTCCATTTTTTCATCATCTTTGTTTTCATCCTCTTCGATTTTTTCCTCTTTCACTACCACTTGTTGAATTTCTTCTTTCACCGACGTACTGCCATTAGCGGCAGTAGTAGCGGCCACATCACTCTCACTACCCTTATCCAATTTGATTTTCTCTTGCACTTGTACAATTTCACCCAATTTGGGATCCTTTTCTATTCCTAGATTATTTTCGAGGAAAGCAGGCTCACTATAAAATTCTTTTACACTAATTTCCGACACACCTTCACTGATCAGTTCCGGACTGAGCGATGAGTCCTTTTCCAGATCGCTACTGATCGTCTCCTTAGTCGAGGCTTCTGTGTCAATGGTCAACGGGGTCACCGATTCGGACTCATCCGTATCCATTGGCTCCGATTTTATGTCCACCGGTGCTTTGATTTTCGGTGGAGCAACAAATTCTTCCTTCTCCTTAGGTGTACTCTTCCGTTGACGGGCACTCCGGCGAACCGCTTTTTCGTCCTTCGATGGCAACACAGTAGGAGTTTTACGTTCATTGAATGCTTCTGCCATTTTGTCCAAAATTTTGGACTTGGTTTCGTTCTCTTCCATGAGTTCCCGTTTGATTTCCGACAGGCTAGTGTCATCTTTCTTATCGTCATCGTCCTTGGCAGAGGAAGTGTCTAACGTTGTGCTGACGTCTGTCACGTCTGAACTTTTGGAAACAGAATCCGATCGACGGCGTTCTTGCTTTATCGTAACGGAATCCGTGGTTGAATCCTTAGGATATTTATCCTTGGGAGTAGGCGCTCTCCGCTTTGAAACTGAACTGTCAATAGCGCGAGGTTTACCATTGCGCAGACTAGTGTTTTTCTTGTCGTCTTTTTTCAGGGTCACAGTCACTTCCTTTTTGCCTTTGGCGTTGACTTGCTTACGTGCAATAACTTTCTTGCCCAGGACTGGTTTGCCAACAATTGGCCTAGTTTTCCGTTTCAGAAGAGTAGTTTTCTTTATGGCGGTCACAGAGGTCTTAGTCTTATCACTGCTAGCACCAGCGGCAATAGGTTTCTTCTTTTTGGTAACGGTTTTACGAGTCACTGTTTTCGAGTCCTTTGCATCATCCTTTTCTTTTTCCTTCTCTTTGGAACTGGAAGAGGTCTCTGGTGGCTCACTATTCGTGGCCCGAGTAGTTCTGCTGGTACTCGTAGACTTGTTGCTGCTGGATCCAGCACTGGTATTTGCTGATTCGGTTGCTGGTGGATCAACGATATCATCGGTTGATTGAACGGAGTCCTCATTTGTGTTCTGCAGTTGTTTTGACTTTTGCCTCAAGGATGCGCGATTGCTTTTACCTTTGCTGGTCGGGGTCGAGGGGGCCGAGTCGCTACCACCACCGAGTGAAGGGGTGGGAGAGCCCGAATTCACCGATCTGGGCTTCTTTTCACGGGTTGCCATTTTGAGAAGCACAGCTAGGCACTAGATCTGTGGAAAATGTAAAAAAGAGAGAACGGAAAATATACAGTCAGTATCACACTCTACAAACACCACAACGCGAGAGAAGAGGTTTAATGAATTTATAAACATACACTCCACTGAAGTGACAGGAAACCATAATCAGAATGTTGAAAACTTTGCCAATTTCTCGCTTATTCTTCCGACGAGTTCCGTTTCCCGAGCGCATAACAAACAAACAACAATGGAAACATATGTCCCGAAAAGTCAAGAACACCACAGTCAGGAGCACAGATCTTACAAATTGCAAATTATAAATTTAAAAGTTGGCAGTACTTATTTTCCCTGCTCGTTCTCTACTCCGATCCGACGACCGTAAACTGAACGCACACTCACACCACTCGATCGGTACTAAACCATCGGTGCGGTGCATGGCGAGACTCTAGCCTCCGGCAGTACCTCTACTCTTTGTGTGTTTTGCCTCAGCTTGTTTCTCACACTCATTCTCTTTCTATGCCACTGCTGTACATTGGCCAAACACGAATTTCTATCTAGCATAAACATAAGTCACACGTACACACCCATCTAAAAACCCCCGACGAGCATAAGCAACACACGCACATGAACAACATAAGGCGGCGTTCACACTCATACCTCATCACTTCTGGCCGCGTCACAACACAACACCCCACACACAGTGGAATGAGAGAAGCTGCTGCTACATATATTGGATATTGCTGACTTTAGCACATCAACATCGGCGATCGCTCACACTCGCTGCCAACTTCGACAACGGACGTACATATGCAGAGCGCTTATGTTGCGCTCAATGTTGCTTACTGGACCGCTTTATGCTTATGCTTTATTTTTTCCCTTTGGCTGCACTCTCGCACTGACGAACGATGAATGGTTTGCTTCGGTGTTGTAAACATACCAACGCGATTACTGCAATGACGACCACGACCAGCGCAAAGCAAGAAAAGCTGTGCATAGGTAGAGGGAAAAATGTTCTGAGCATACAGTCAAAACAGTGAAAAAACCCTCTCATCTGTGTCGTTGTTTCCCCTAGTCGCCTGCCTCCCTAAAAGCGAGCCGGCTGTTGATGCTGCTGCTTGTTGGGATATGATGCCGACTGTTGTCGACTGAACGTCCGTCGCAGGTGAAGCTGAAGGGGATGATGTCGGTCGGTAAATATTATGCTATTTGCCGCTTAACGTGCATCTCTCAACTCACCACACAGAAAATCAAGGGTAGCAAAGGCCAACAACGAAGACAGACGCGTGGTGACGACGACGCCTGGCTCTCCAAGTGGGGAAAATTGCTCTTCCGTCGGATGCTCATCAGATATCCACGTGGAAAATTTCCCCCAAACAATAAACATTCCGGTGGGTCCTCCGCACAAGGAATGACCATCAACACGCCAAACGACATCAGACAGGGATAACCAGCCCTAAGCCAACTAGGATTTGAATTTCATTATTTTAAATTAACCGGGCATTCAGTTAATGAGAAAAAAGAAGATGGCTTCCCTCTTAATGACTTTCTCTTCGGTTGCCCCATTTCTTCGTGCTGCTAGAATCGCTTAATTTTTTTTCCTGCGCTGTCGCTAGCTGAATGCCGTTGGGGTAGAATGGTATTTTTCTCAACTTGCTTGCCTAGATCCAGGTGGATGGACCACCTTCCCAAGAAGAGGGTCACCACTCTCAGTCAAGAGGCTGTGAAAATTAATTAAGATAACATGGGATTTCAGTAATTGTTATGGGGATACTTTTCCGCAACGACCAACAGGCGACCGCTGAAGAAATCAATCAGGCATATCATAGACGACGGTAATTGTGTTAAGACGTCAAGGATCATTACGTTCTATCAATTATACCATGCTGAAACAGTTTGTTCTGTAACAGCTCAAGCATTGAAAAAAGTTGAAACTTTAATGTTGGTAATTGCCGTTTCAAATTCAATACCATAGTAGGAATCTAGTTTGTGAATAAATAGCTGATTAGTGGCTGTTCATTAACTACGTGGACAGTTTTTTGGGATTCTTGACCCCCCTCCCCCGCGTAAGCAATTGCCAGTACAATTTTTTTTTAAATGTGTATGGACCGTGTATAATTGCCACCACCCCCACCCCCCCTAAACTGTCTACGTAGCTTATGGACAGCCCCTTACACAAAACAGTTACTTTTACCACTTAGGAAAAAAGTAGGGCTAGCTTTGGTAAGTTATTTATGTGTTAAACTGTATTAGGGTGGATCATTTTGCAAAAAAAAATAAATTTTGAGCATATTTTCAAAGAAATTATGAGTAGCGCTCCAAGAGCATTTGAAGAAATTTTCAAGGGATTACTAAGGAGAGTTTCAAAAGAATTCTAACATAATTCCAACAGATCTTCTTAAGAGCATTTCTAGTGGTAAAATATGTATAAGGAAATTTTGGAATTTTATTTTTTTTATTTTTGGTATACAAAATTTATTGGAGGTAGTCCAAGCGGTTTCTAAAGTAATTAATGGAGAAAAATTAAACAAATTCTCGCTTAAATTATTCAGAATGCGAAGATGCAATACGAGAGAATTTCAAGAATTTTCTAGAAGGAATTCCAAAAGTGTTCTGCATAGACTGTTCAAGAGAATGCCGGCAGATTCATAAGATTATTGAGGGGAAAGTAAAAGTGTTTCTGAAGACTTTTTTTAATAATGAAAAGCAAAACCTTGGTTAATTTTCAATGAAATAAATAAGTGAGTTCAAACATTTTGAAATTCCGTGCACATAAATTCAAGATTCAGGATTTAAAAAAAATAAGATTTTGAGACTTCGATAGGGAACAAATCCAGGTATTTTAAAACTGTTCAAGATTATGAGGATTATAAATTTCAGAGAAATGTAACAGTAAGGTATGTGGGATCTCAACCTTGAAAAATCCTCAATGGACGTGCATTAAACATCCCAGAAATGAAGAAATTTTCTAAAATCAATGACATGCAAAGCTTTCAAGGTTCTAAAGTTACCAAAAATATTCAAAATGCGTGACTCTGGATTATCGTTAATTTTCTTAGATCTCAAACTTAATTTTTGGTATCCTGTACTATGGAAAAGTAAAAATTTCTCACTGGATGAATTATTCAAGACTTCAAGAGAAATATTCGAAATATCGGAATGATATTTATTAACAGAATATTGTAAGATTCCAATTGATTTCCCGGTTCTACCGGTTCAGCAGCCACTCTGCTGAAGGTTTACAGATTAGGGTCAATGTACGAATGTTCGACCTAGCACTAATTTTCGAGTTTTTGACCAAAAAAGGTCATCAATCGATCTTTTTCATATATTCCTAATCTTTAGAAAAATTTTCGTATGTCGGCTACCGTGGAGTTCTAAAGCAGCTGTCAAAGTTCCACCGCCAGTATGACACATTTGAAGTATTTTTCCTGGCAATTCCATGAAACCTTGTTCATTTGAAAGCTGCGGTGGAGCTTCTTCTTATAAGTTAATCCGTAAAACGGAAATAAATCTCTCAAAAGAGCAATAACAAACAAGCAAGCACAGTGTCTTTGGTGTATAACTTTAAAATAACAAAAATCGGCATTCGCGACACCTTCTCTATTCAAAACAGAGGACTTTACCCGCCATTTTGACATTATTACTAAAATTTATCATTAAGGTAATAGTGCCCAAGCGACTGGAAAAGCCCCCTCTTTCGAATGGTGAAGGTTTTGTGAATGCCGATTTTTTTCTTTTTGAAGTTATCTTAACAAAGGCACAATGACAAGTATCATTAAGGCCACCATCATGTTTGATTAATTATCCCAAAATTAGTGTCTGTGCAAACAAAATTAAAGATTGATGAACGTTTAGAGGTTGCGCAAATGGAGCCGAACCTTCACTCCTTAGCACACACAATACTCCTGTACAAAATTTGTCAAATGAATTGTCAAAGACGAAAATTAATTATCAATGAAGAATCAAAAAATATTCTAAATCGGATCCTGATCATTCACATAAAATTTGAGCTCATTTGCTTGTAAACTCATACTGCATACTGTTGATGTTTATATGGGATTTACTATGGAAAAACCAATTTTTTTGTTCACCTCGTCCTAGCCTTTTGCCACAATGATTTACAAATATGCTTACCGGTTTTATTGGATCAGTTCCAATCAGTTCTCTTATTGGATTTGTTTTAGCTACAACCAGGCTTGCAATTGCTCATTACAGCTAAAATGCTATTTTTCGTAATTATGAAACAATGAGATACTATAATGATAATTTTTATTTGTAAGATGCAAGAAGAGGTGGTAAAGTTTGTGTATGACATATAAAATTTGTAAATTTTGCTTTCAGAAGGTCACAACTAGCGATTAGCTGTAACAATGAGCAACGCGATGAGCGAGCAATCAGCGATCATAAAATCGCTAGTTGTGACCTTCTGAAAGCAAAATTGATAAATTTTGACTAAATAAACTTTGCTGAAGATCACATTTTAATTGAACATCAGCATAATTAGTTATTAATTAATTAGTGTACTTGGGCGTATAATAGGTCACACAAATTCAGGCTAAAGTCTGGAACGCGCAAAAATTGGTCAACTTCAAATAGGTGTATTTCTGTTAAAAATGCATTTAAAAAAACCTGAAATGCTGCATTTGGAAGTTGAGTGTATATACAATGGTTGCTTTGATGAGTTTTCACCGTTTGCTCTCCAGTTTTCAAAATGACATCCAAGCAAGAGGAGCAGCGTGTCAAAATTTTGATCGTGCAGCAAGAGAATCCGACGTTCTCACACGCCAAGTTGGCAAAATTGCTGGATGTGGCCAAATCGACCGTGGCAAAAGTTTTAAAAGTGTTTGGGGAGCGTTTGTCGACCGTCAGGAAGCCTGGAAGCGGCAGCAATCGTAATCCGGACGTGGCTGCGACGACGAAGAAGGTGGCGGTGAAATATAAGCGGAATCCTAATCTCTCCATCCGGGATGTCGCTGGCAAGCTCAATATCTCCCATACTACTGTGCAGCGGGCCAAGAAATGAGCAAATAAAA